ATGATAAAAAAAAATCTAATCAAGTGGGTTAAATGGATCCAAGTAATTGGATTAATCTGATCTAACTAAGAAAATGTACTAAGAGAAAGGGAAAGGAGGAGGCAGACAAAGATTACATTACAGGAAAAGGCATAAAAACCTATTTACAGAAGAGGGAAAGAAGGGAGGGAGATGAGCATTGTTTGAACCTTACTCAACAGATTTGGCTCAAGAAGGGAATAACATAATCAGTTAGGTACAAGAAATCTAACTTGCCCTATAGGTAGTAGGAGGGAAAAAGAGAAAGAAAAGGGAGGGGGGATAGAAGGAGGGAAGAAGTAGTAAGGGTAAAGAGGAAGAAAACAGAGGGGGTTAACAGAAGGGAGGCGGTGATGAAAGGCAAAACATTAGTGAGGAGGGAAAAGGAAAAAGAAGGTAAAGCATAAACGTGGGAAAAAGGATGGAAAGACACATATAGTTATCATAACTGTGAATGTGAATGGGATGAACTCTCCCATAAAACGGAAGCGGATAACCGAATGGATTAAAATGCTATCCACATCCAAAGAAAGAACTATGGAATTTGAATGCAGATCAAAGCTTACCATATGCTATTTTTTTTCTTCTGTTGTGTTTTGTTTTCTCTTTCTGGTGGTTTCTCCTATTGGTTCTAATTCTTATTTACAACATCACTAACGTGAAAATATGTTTAATAGGAATGTATATGTAGAGCCTGTATCAGATTGCAAAAAAAAAGAATTTAGACTCAACAACTAGGCCTTTGCTCCAACGAGATCCAAGAAAGAAGAATGCACAAAATGCACATTGTGCACAAAAATACTGAGAGCAGCTCTTTTTGTGGTGGCAAAGAACTGGACACTGAAGGAGCAGCCATCACCTGGGGAACAGCTCAGTGGGTTACGGCCCACTAACGTGATGCAGTACTGCTGGGCACAAGAAACAATGAAGGCAACGGTTTCCAAGAAGCCCGGGATGGCTTGTCTGAACTGATGCAGAGTAAATGAGGCCAAGCAACTAACACAGAAACAGCGAGACCACAAAGGCAAACCACTTGGAAAGCCTTGATAAACAAAGGGCGCCCACGGAATAGGAGTTTATGTCCAGACGGAGACGCTCTCGGGGGGGCCAGGGCCAACGTGGAAATTTGTTTTGACTGTACAAGCTGGGCAGGGGGTCTGGAGGGAGAGAAGGTAGAAAATAAAGTTTAAGGAAACAAGAAATAAGACCAAAAGCAACAGCTGACCTTTTGTAACAGCGTTCTCTTATACTACCAGCACGCTAAGCCTAACATCCCGTGGCAGGAGTTATTCCGTTTTTTGCAGGTGCCACAACTGAGCACAGGTTAACTAGCATTTTGCCCAAGGCCACACCCTAAATCGGCACTGGAGATGAATCTGGAACACAAAGTTCTTGATCTCCAGCTTGTCTCCGACACTGACAGAACACCAAGATAACACTATCACAAGATGCCATCATAAAATCACACACTGTTTAAGGTGGAAGGCACCTTAGAGATCTAGTCTAACCCCCAGGGGACCAAAGAGGTGACATGGCTTCCCCAAGATACAACGGGGCAGGACTCGCACCCAAGGGTCCTGACTCTAATCTTTCTGTGACACTATGCAGGCCCACAGATGGGGGCCAAATCTGCTTCAGAGCTGGCTGTGAAGGCAATGGGGGGGGGTCCCCCAACCCTCCTCTACTCTGTTCAGACAGTGTCCCCATTCTCCACCCAAAGGAGGACCAACATTTCTGCTCCTCAGGGATCCAGGAACACACCACCTGGTGCACATGTGCGATGACTTGGAAAGAGGAAATAAGATGATCCAGAAACAAAGTTCTGGAATCTCTTGAGCTGGAAGGAATCTCAGAGGCCACTATCCACCCTGTACCTGGCCAAAAGCTCACTTTGGGACAGTCAATCCATATGGGATCTCCCAACCCTCACCAAATGATGGGCAAAGATGAAACAAAGAGCCTCTGCCAAGTTCAGCCAGAATCACTGGCTCCAGCGTTATAAAGCAACGGGTACTGCCCAGTGGGTCCTTCATCAGGGAACACTGGTCACGAAGTCATTGACTAAGAGATATGATGAGACGCTGGCTCCTCCCAGGGAGAGGCAGCACGTCGGCTGGCAGAACTGTGAGACCTGAAACGATGACGTGCCTTGTGCCCCGCCGCCGCTGGGCCCCACTAGCCTCCGATTTCACTCACGGTGCTTGCAAAGCTTCGATCCCACTTGTCTTGGCTACCCCATTTTTCTCACTCATTCCTCTACTGTGATTGCTCTAGTCAGTGCAACCTAGACAGGCCTCACCTGACAACATGGAGAGCAAAGGCATGCCTTGGAATGGGCATGAACCCAACCTTCAAGCACGCATGGGTGCTTGAGCAAAAGTCACCGCCATCTTGGTGCAGGTAAAGGAACACACCAGAGCCCCAGAGGCTGCCAAAGGTTAGGAGGGATGAGGCAGTCACTCACAGGTACGTGGGCTCTCACCATCTGCACCAAAGGCCCAAGGGAGCTCCTGCTGACCCACCTGCGTCTCAGAATCCCTCGCCTCCTTCAAGGTTCACCTTCAGCACCCCCTTCTCCGCTACAGGAAGCCTTTCCTGATCCCACAGCTACTGGCCTCGGCCACAAACCTGCCAAGTGTTTCTTTCCATGTGGATTTACACACAGTTTTTTGTGTTCATTTTCCCCTTCCCCCACCCCATAGACTACAGGCTTCTTGTGAGCAGAGGCTGTTTAATTTGTCTTCACATTCCCAGTGCCTGACACAGAGGTTATTTAAAATGCTTTCCGACCAATGGATAGCGCAACGCCTCTCTAATGACAAAAAAAGGAGAGCAAGGCGAACTCTGCTCTCAGGGACTTCTAAAAAAACCCCAGCAACTGGGAACTTTCCTCTTCACCACCTATGAGACAGAGGTAGCCACACAAGGATGCTCCCGCTTCACAGAAGAGGAGACAGGCCCAGAATGACTGAATGTCTTGTCTGTGGTCAGCCAGCCAACACGCAGAGGGGCTAGGATGTGAACCAAGCCTTCTGACCCAAGTCTGGGACTCCTCCCATTACACCCTATGGTCCCACAAGCTAAGAATGGTTGAGAGTGAAAATGGCCAGAGGTGTTCCTAGTTTCCAAGCCCAATGATCCCGACAACCTTCCTGAGTGACCGGACCTTCCTGTATCATGGGGCAGCAGAATCAAGAAGAGACCATCAGCCTTTTCTTCCCCATGGGATCAGACTGGAATTATCTGAGAAGTCAGAGGCATTTTAAAAGAACTTGGGAATGTCACAGAATAAACGTCGACAACACCTCACACGGCCTATTACTCACAAGCTATCCCTTCATAAAAGTAAAGGCGTGCTGGAGCCACATCCGGGGCCAGGCTCGTCTGTCCCGACAAGCTGGGGGCATATTCCTGAGCATCAATTTACAATCGTCTGTTTTCTCCAATCACAAAAAGTACAATCACTGACATTCCGGACGTTTAAAAGCGGCCTGCTCATCTTCAAGCTGGGGCCTCAACGCTCTGGCTGTCACTCACACCCCGGCTTGGCCAAGCCCCCTTATCCTTCGCTGGGAAGGGCGTCCAGAACCTCCTTGCCCGGGCTCAAGGCTCCCATCACTGAGGATGCCCGGACAGGAGGGGTGAGGAGGATTCTGGTGCCTGTGGCCGAGAGCTCAGCTCTGTGTACCCGAATCACCTCCGTCAGCAGAGGAAAGGGGACCTAAGCTCTGCTGCACAGTCACACCGGCCTGGGTGCTGGTCAGCAGCGGCCGCCTCGAGGAGTGGTCCTGGCGAGGTCACTGCCCCCACCCCCAGACCCAGGTCCTGCACGGCCTGACCGAGACGGGACAAAGGGCTCCCTGAGGGGGGTCTCCACGGGAGCCGATTAAACTGGGGGGGGCGGGATGTAAAGCTCCGTATGAAGGCCAGGCGGCCCCTGGGGCCGCGTTCTCCACACGTGTCTCGTGTCTACACTTCGCCCACGGGCTGTCCTCCCATGGGTGCGCCAGGGGACAGGCATTCCGGACCCGGTTTCGGCAGCCGCAGGGCCTCGCACTCCGTGGGCGCAGATCGCGGGGACGGCCCCGACCTCCTGCCCGGGGTCCTGCCAAGGCCTCAGTTTCCCCGTCCGTCAGCCCGAGCCCGTGACCTTGGGCGGCCGAGACCGCCCGGCCCGGTCACCTTGTCCTCACCTTGAGGCTACAGGCGGCCCGCCGGCCGTGGCAGCCAGCCGGGGAGGAGGAGGGGGCGCCGCCCCGGCCCCAGGCGCGGCCCCGCCCGGCCCGAGTCTCGGCTCCGCAGGCGGAGGCGCGGACGCCCTCCCTGACCTCGGGCGCCAGGCCCGGCGCGACCTAGCCCGGCCCGTCCGCCCAGCCGGCCGGCGGGGGCCCGGGGCGGGGCCGCAGCCCGCTCGCCCGCCCCGCTACCCCTCCCGCTGCCGCCGCTGCCGCCGCCGCTGCCGCCGCACGCTCACCCACCCGCCGGCCGGCCGGCGCTCACCTGCAGCCGAGCCACCAGCAGGTTATACGGCGCCATTTTGTGCACTGACAAAGATGTGGTCGCGTGAAAGTGACGCGCGCGCGGGAGCCTTTAAAGGCTCCGGGAGGCGGGGCCTGGGCACGCAGGCTGGGGGGGCGGGGCCTGCCACGAAGCCGCCGGCTTGGCTAGTAGGAGGAACCAAGAAGGCGAGAAGACCCCGAGGTCCCAGCCAGGGGGCGGGGCTGACGCTCAATCTGCCAGGCTCCGGGGGCGGGGCCTCCTGAGAGGGGGGATGGGCAAGGCCGAGAAATAGCAAGAGATGGGACTAAAGGACCAGCCAGCCCCGCTAGCCCCCGCGCTCAGGCCGTCACTGTCACTGGTGGAGCGTCCGGAAGACACTTATTCTCATCTCCCGATGGGATCGGGCCCGCCCACTCTCGGCGTGGCCGCGGGAGGGGCGGGGCTTGGACAGAGGCGGGGCCTTGATTGGCGGGGAGGCGGGACCTGGAGGTCAGAGGTCGAGCGGAAGCGGCGGCGGCATCCGGCGACCGGCCTGAGGGAAGGCGATGGCCAAACATCACCCGGATTTGATCTTCTGTCGCAAGCAGGCCGGTGTCGGTGAGTCGGGACCCGCTCGTCTTGAGCCTAGGGGCGCCTTTGGGGCGGGAGCTGAGTCTCTGGGTACTCTTACCCTTCTGCTTGTGAGATGCAGCCATTTCCCGCCCGTAGTTGACAGAGGCAGGGGCGTGGGGAAGGGGAGATGGCGCGTGACAGCTTATGTAGAACTAGAGCTGGAGGGAGGTGGGGCGAATGCGTGGCTCATTTGGAACAGGGCGCCTGCGCATTGAGCCCGGGGGCGCGGGAAGACCAGAACGGCAGCATCTAGGGCGCCTGCGCACTGAGCCAGGGGGCGCGCGACCGCTGCAACTGGGCGCCTGCGCACTGGGGGGTGGGGAAGAAGGATGCGGGGTTGAGATGCGGATCGGCTCTCATCTGGCCCGGCGTCAGGCTGTGCACACTCTTAGTGTCCATAGTAGGCGCTTAATAACAGCTTGTCCGCTTGGATTGATTTGAACTGCAGAGTCAGAAGCACCTGGCACATAGTAGGACCTTATGAAATGCCTAGTGATTGATTCATTCATTCCCTAAAGTTTTGTAGAAGCCAGAGCCCCAGTCGCCCTGTTTGGGGTTTTAATTCCAAACCCTGTCTTCTCCCTCCCCCTTCCTCATTTTCCAAAATTGGTCGATTGTATTCAGCGTATTTCATTTGCTAGGCCATAAGTTTGTTAATAAACTAAAATCACATTGCATTTTTTGTTTCTTCCCTTCATTCTGCTAGCCATCGGGAGGCTGTGTGAAAAATGTGAGTATGTACACCCCCTCCCTGGGTGGGATGTACCTCCGATAGGCCAGAGATAAGAGATCCCCAGAGAGAGACTTGGGTAGTTCTGGCTGTTGGCCCACTTAATGCTGTTGTCGCCTATTTTTATGCCTTCAATAAGTGGTTTTTTTTTAAATTTTTAAATTATTTTTTTTTTGGTGAGGCAGTTGGGATTAAGTGACCTCCCTAGGGTCACACAGCTAGTAAGCGTCAAATGTCTGGTTTGAGGTCGGATTTGAACTCAGGTCCTTCTGACTCCAGAGCCTGTCCTCTAGCCACTGCGCCACCTACCTGCCGCGATTAGTATTTATTAATCAGAAAAAATGAATCTGTACAATTCTAAATGTGTTTGAGCAAGTCCTTCTTAGACGTAGACCTAACAGTGGTGTTCCTGGGAGGAATTTTAAAAGGCATTAAGGACATTTGACACATTTATAAAAACGGCAGGTTTTACAACATGGTAATGCTCCTGGGGTCTGGGAGAGAATGCCCTGGACAGGATTCTGATGATTCAGTTGGCTTCTCTTGTGGAAGAAATACTTCTGAAGTATCCAAGTTATGGATACATAGCATTCAGGTGTGAATATGATGTAAAAGAATTTAGTGTTGGTTTATCCACAGCACAGAAGTAACCAGAGTGGAAACAGTAAGTGTTTGCATGTGAACTTCATGGTGTCCTGACTGTCTTATTCTCGCAGGTGATGGCAAGTGTGTGATCTGTGACTCCTATGTCCGTCCCTGCACATTGGTCCGGATATGTGATGAGTGTAACTATGGCTCCTATCAGGGGCGCTGTGTGATCTGTGGGGGCCCTGGAGTGTCGGACGCCTATTACTGCAAGGAATGCACCATCCAGGAGAAAGATGTGAGTGCACCGTGATGACACTTTTCAGTCGCCTTTCCATCTGTCACTTAGTATACCTAGCGGCCCACATTGGAGACTCCTAGGGAGTGTGCCCTGGCACTCAGGGCTTCCTTGTTGTTTCATTGTATAGAATCCAGTCTCTCCAGATCCTGGGAGCTCTTTGCACCAGCTGCCAAATGCAGGAAATGCACATTGAAAACAACGTCATGACCTTGGCCTCCTATTTTGGAAAGCCTGCTACCTATATTTAGTCGTGCTTATTCTTGGGGGTTGATACTAACTGAGCCTGTGCACCCTCCTCAAGTGGGCCTGGTTACGGGGCAGATCACTTTGCACACCTGGGGCACAATGAACAGTTTGTTGGTTTTGAGGAGGGTGTCTGCCAAGTTGGCTGTTACTTGAGAAGTCTCTGCCTCTTGGCATTTGTGCTCACCTCACCCCCAGCCACTGGCATGCTGCCCAGATGTGGACCAGTGCCAGAGGCAGGCTTTTACCTTTCAGTGCCTATGTGGGACATGCTGAGCACCAAGGGGGAGATAAAGGTTAGAAAAGACAAGGCCCCTCCCCTAATGAAACTCCAAAGTTAGGGGATGCACAGGTAACCATAACACACAACATTAAAGTACAAATACTTTGTAGGGTTGCAGAATAAAAGGTTATGGGAAGTCCCAAAGGAAGGGTGATTATCAGTTAGGGAGCTCAGTGAAGGCTTGACCATTCCCAGTATTTGTGTGGCAGACCCCTGCCCCCAAAACCGCTTGCTCCCACTAAATGTCATAGCTTGCTTTCTTCTTGTGACAGTAGATCAAAGAAAGTATCTGTGTGGTTTCCTCTCCCACAGAGAGCCCCTGGCTGAGCATCGGAAACCTCTCTGTTGGCATGTCTGTGTCCCTGGCCTAGTACACACCTTGGCGGCTGGTGGCCGAAGCGCCATAGCCCAGGCCAGCCCCCGCTTGGTGTCCTGGCTCAGGCTTCCTCCAGCTGTTTTGAACCAAAAGGGGGAAAGGGCTTGATGAGGTTAGATAACATTTCTTGTGGCATAAACTGTCCCTTAAGCTTATTCTTGGGATCTGGGAAAGAGATGGGTCCTGTGTATCCACAGACCTAATTTCAGCCCATCATTTCTCCCTTCTTCTCACAGTCAGCCTTCTCCCTCCTTCGTCACTCTTAATTGTATGTTGTGCTGTAGTGTTCACACTGCCCTTCAGCTCTGGCTGTGCTGGGCTAGCTCCTTGAGAGTCAAGACCTTCTGCTTCTGGGGATCCCCTACAGTGCCAGGGAGCGCAGCCTCTCCCCAGCCAACCATCCCTCCGTAAAGATGTGTCACAAATATATCATATGCACACCACCACACTAGGACAAGACCCTACTGAGATGGTGCCAAATCGCTAGACGCTCCCACAGAAACACCGCACCCCCCCAGCTCCCCAAACATTCGCAGATAAGTCAGGTTCTTCTTGCTTTTATCTGGACTTGGGCCCCCAGGAGCTTCTCTCCCCCGTGATGATGCCATTCCTGTGCACCTTGCTGCCCAATCCTTGGTCTTCCCTGTGTGATGAAGTAGTGACATTAAGTGGGGTCTGCCTCCAGGGAGCTGCTCAGGAAATGTTTGTGATTGGCTGACTCTGCTCGTCATCCTTCTGGAATAAACCGTGAACCAAGTCCTCAGACTAGCTGAGAGGTTCCTGGAAGCATTGATTTTGCTGCTTTGGGCAGGCTCGCCATTGCACTACATAGCCTCTTCTCTCTTGGCAGTGCTGGCAGGCTGGCAGGGTGCGGATAGGGGAATGAACGGAGGTTCCTGAGGTTTACATGCCGAGGGTTTGAGCTCAGGCTTCTGGCACACCAGTCCAGGCTCCACCATTTCCTGAGGCTTTTCTTTCAGTGAATGGAATGTTCCTATCTTGGCCCAAATGGGCATCCAGTAGGCCTTTCCTGCATTTCTGCTGCCGGTCTGATTCTTTCTCACTTTGCCTCTCATCAGGGGGCCTGGCTCCTTGACTTGGGGGTACCACCTTTTATATGTGAGCGGGAATGGAAAGGAAATTGAGAGCTAATGATGCTCCCCTGCCCAGTGGCTCTGGTAAGCTAGCAGGCCTCCTAGCTCACTCCTTTTAAATGGCTGTCAGGAAACAAGAAATCAGGCAGCAGCAGGAAGGCCTTGTGTGGCACTGGGGTGGCTACTTCTTTGCTTTCCTGGCCTTCGGCTGGAGGCCCTTTTCCTCTTGCCTCTCACTCCATTCTTTCTAAACCCAGCCCTGGATCACTGCCACCATTTACCTTCCTCCATGCACACTTTGAAACCTCAAAAGCTCAAGCTGCCCTACCATGCTGACAGACTTACATCTGGGCCCTTACTTCCATGTCCAGTTAAGGCCCCATTGCACTCCCCTCAATGCCTGTTTAAAACCCCTTCTCTCCTCAGGTCGCTGACGGCATGTCCTCCCTCCTGCTTCCCCTCAGCAGAGGGCCAGTATTTAACAGCCACCTTCTCCTCCAGATCTCTTAGCAGCACCCCCTGGGGTCTCCTCCTCAGGCCCCTCGTGCCATCCCATCGCCTCCTGCCTCTTACAGCAGCGGGCCCCTTCTATCCTCCCGGCTTTCCTTCTTCACCTTCACCAGACCCAGAGCCATGCTTCCTTGTCCTCATGCATCACAGCCGGCCTGCTGGCCAAGCTGCACTTTGCTCGCCTTGCCTCTGTTCTCCCCCACACTCTTCCTTCTCAGCCCCTGCAGTCTGGCTTGATCAGGCCCTCCCGCTCAGCTGAAGCCGTTCTCTGCAGCATTGTCATTGGCCAGTTCCCAAGCCCAGTGGGCTTTCCTTTTTTCCCCACATCTCATCCTCCTTGTCTTTTCTGCTGCATTTGGTGGTGTTGGCCCTGGTTCCCTTACAGCCAGTCTCCTGAGGCTCGCGGTCACGGCCATCTTCTTCGTCCCACCTGGTCTGGGGGGGTGTACCTTGGGCTCTCTCCTGAGGCATCTTCTCTCTTCCATGAGTTCTGCCCTTGTCACTCTTCTGACAGTCCCCACAGCTCTCTGTGCAGCCCTGTTTTCTCTCCTGCGCTCCAGGCCTGACTCACCAGCTGCCCGGTGAGCATGTCCGCCCATTCAGGATGTTCCAAGCAGGACTCGTCGTCTTTCCCCCAGAACCCTCCTGTCCTCCTGTTTCTGTTGACAGTGGGCTGGGCATGCAGCCTGAGGAGTCCTTGACCCTGACCTCTGTCCCCTCTGTCCTCATGCGTCCTACACTCGCAGCCGCCCCCCTGCTTGGGGCATTTCTTGCCGTCACTCCCCTTGACTCTTCCAGTACCCACCTCGTTGGCTGCCCTGCCTCCAGGCCGGGCTCCACCCTCTAGGTCACTCCTGCTCAGGAAGCACCCATGGCTTCTGAAGGCCTCAAGCACCTTCTTTTGGGGTCCATGGAGAGCTTGCAAGGGATCCAGAAGGATGACCTCATTTCAGAAGCGCCCAGCACACTCCCTGGCACACAGCAGTTGCCGTGGAAATACTCGTTGCCTTCCTTGGCTCCCTGCATGGGGGTCGCTGGGCGTGACCTTCTGTTGCCTGTCAGCATGCCTTGGCAATAGGCTGTGCCCCCACCTGGCACATGCTCCCTTCTCGCCTTGGCCTCCTAGAGTCTCTCACATCCAAGAGGAGAGCGTCCTTCCCCACCCTCCACCCCCCCCCCCAAGAAACGACTTTTCATGCATTTTGTATTTCATTTTCTGTGCAGACGGTTCCCACTGACCCAGTGTGCCAGTCTGTTTTCCTGGCTTCCGAGGGTGGTGGAAGGCATTACATGAGAGTGTGTGGGGAGAGCTGGGAAAACTGCAGAGCATTAGAAGGCGACAGGGAGGCGCCACAGAGTGAACAGGCGGAAAGGGCTCCTGCCTTCAAGGAGCCTGCATTCTGTTGGGATAAAACAGCACATATACGGAGAAAGGAAAAGGAACCTGGGGACGAAGGCCCCTGAGGAAGAGTCATGGAGTAAGGGGGCGGGGTGGGGGTGCACAGGGAGGAAGGAAGTTGTTGGAGGCACCCACTGACGTGAGAGGGACTGCCTGCAGGGAACAGGAAGTGGCCATTTTAGCTGAAACAGGAAGTGCGTTGCAGGGATTCCAAACAGGCCTGGAAAGCTTGGCTACATGTACCCAGACTGATAAGCTTCACAGCCAAACCCATCACTTTATATTTGGTCCTGAGTACTAATGACTTAGCAAGCTTCTGAAGCGGAGGGGTGGAAGATAAGTTGGGGGCGCCCCCTTCCATCTTTGCAGACTTGGGGGATTAAGCGTGGGACATTGCGTGGGCCATCTCTCAAGGCTGTGTGTCTGGGAGGTTTGGCGGCGTCATCTTGGTTATGAGGGATGGCTTTATCTGAAGGAGAAGGAGGAGGGCTGTAGTTATAGGATTCTAGAGTTAGAGCATATGGAGGGACTACATGGGGTGGTCCTTTTTAAATCTGAGGAAATGAAGGGCAAGAGAAGCCATGGGCCCAGGGCATCAACGCCAAAAGAATCTGGCCAGATTCATACCCAGGGCTTCCTGTCCCCTGGTCCAGCCCTCTCCACTCCAGCACACTGCCTCTGTCATGAAAGAAGGTGATGAACAAGATGGTGCCCAAAGAAAGGGTTCTCAAAGGTGTATCCAGTTGGCCACTGTGGGGCAGAGATTGGATGGTGGAGGACCTCTTAGAGGCTGCAGCAGCAGGACACGGACGGGAGGCTCTACCTGGGGTAGGTTACACTGGCATAAGGAAGTCCCAGGTGAGGAAGCTCCCGCCACCAATAGAGAGTGGCATCTTCCGCAAGTTCCAGTTTTAGAATTTCCCAGAGTGCCTAGAAATTTAGTAACTTGCCCAAGGTGACACTACCATTCTTTTTCAAGAACAGGGCTTGAATACATAGGAGGTAGAGAGGGTTTGTCAGGTGGAGGTTAGCTGCCTCCTCAGTGTTCTAGCGTCTGATTCAGCCGTTAACGTGGCTCACTGACCGTGCCGGTTTGTCAAGGAAAGAGAGAGCGACCCAGTTAAGTTCATTCTCTTTTTCTGATTTCCTCTTCTCTCACTTGAGAAAGGGGGGTCCTGTTCAGGAATGAATTTGAATGTGGCCTAGCCGAAAGGTGAGTGGATTTGGGAGACTGGAAGGCTTGGCTGTGGTGTGACCTTGAGCAAGTCACTTCCTTCTTTGAAATAAGGAAGTTGAACTAAATGATCTCCAAGAAATACTGGGATCCCACAAGACCCATTCTTCTGCCAGAGGCATGGATTTGAACCCAGCTCTGCTCAGGAAGGTATCAGCAAAGCAGTTCCTACAGGGGGCAGAGGGATTCTGCTCTTTATTTCAAGCCGATTTTTAGGTCAAACTCAAAAGCCAGAAGATCTGGGATGAGGAACGCTAGGCTGGACCTGATTTGGGTGGGTCAGGTGCCCTGGGATTCATAGCCAGGAGATGGTCTCCTGTGTTGTTACATACTGACCCCAAGCCATCCCCTCCCAAGAGAAGGACCGAGGGGCCTGGAGAGCCCTGACGCTGTCTCTTTTCAGGGCTGTTCCTGTTTGAATTTGAGTGAGGAGGAAGGTTTGAGAATTCCAGCGGGATCTTCCTAAAATGGCAGCTTCCCCGGGCCAGTCGTCTTAGATGTTTCCAATCTTCTGGTCTCTTCTCCAGCATCCAGAGCCTGAGACTTTGCACCCAGATCCTTAGTGGTCTGGGGAGCACCCCAAGGCCAGCTCCACTGTGCCCCTGGGTTTCTGTCTGCTCACAGATGTGTTAGTTAGAAAAAGCCAGACATGATATTGTCTCTTGAAGTCCATGTGCAGAGCAGTGCTAAGACTTGTGAGGACCCAGTGGAAGATGAGCAGGAAAGGAAACACAGGTGGGAGGAGGGGAGTGAGAGTCACATCTCCCCCAGTCAGTGGGGAGAAAAGCACTAAAGTCAGCAGGCCCAGGGAGGAGACTGGTCTTCATGAGCATGTTTGTGGAGCCTCCCAGCCCTGTCCATGGCTCTGTCCCTCCGAGCTAGCGAGAAGCACAGGGCACACAGCTGTCTGGCTTGGCTCTTTCTGCAAGGCCAGTGCAGTGCGGCACAACTGAGAAACAAGAAAGCCCAAGAGCTGGTGCCTTTGCCGTTGCAGAGGGAAGATGACTCAGGGCAGGGAGGGAGGCCTTTTGTATAGCTCTTGGTCCCTAGAAGAGTGGGCAGTGGGAGGGTTTGAGGAAGAAGCAGGTGCTGGGGATTTGGGCCATCTCCCAGGGGGCCACGGTGAGAGGCCCCTTTGATGGAACATTTAACCAACAGAGAGGCTGCAGGCCTTGCTGCTCTTGCTCTCCACTTCCCTAGCTTTTCTCCTGACTTCCCAGAGCAGCCAATAGGGGCCGCAGCTTCCCAGATGTTTCCTTAGGCCTCCCCAGGGACTGGGCTAGTATGTGGCTCTAACTCTGGTGCGGTCCAGGTACGGTCCTTAATACAGGAACGCCCCCACGGAGTGCATGGGATGCCTCGAAGTCATGCTTACCTGTAGCCCAAGAGACACTTTGATATGATTCTGTGTCTTGAGGTTTTGCTGTAGCCTAATTTTAATTGATTCAAAATATTTCTCTGCTTCCCCTCCCTTCCCCACCCCCCACCAAAAAGAAAAAGGTCTGGAAGTCAGTTTCATGGAGATTTCAGCTACAGTGGAATATGGTCAGGGACCACCGGTGTTCTTAGAATCCTGAAAGGCACACTTCATGGGCGGGAGCTACCCCAGACACGGGCTATTGCCATAGGATAACAATCCTTTTGTGTCCTGGTCTCCTTAGGCAGTCTGAAGTACATGAACCCTTTCTCTGAATGGTTTAAAATGCATAAAATAAAATACAAAGGAAACCAAAGGTTTGTAAAAAATAAAGAGGGCTTTTCCCCAGTCTGGGTTGGAGGAACTGCAGAGCCACCACCCTAAGAGCTGTTCTGGATTAGTGTGCTCAAAGTGGTCTTCTCCCTCAGAGGGGTAGGAAGTGCCTTATTACTAAAGGCTCTTAGGTTGAGGCTGGCTGGCCAATTCAGAGGGAGAAATTTCTGCTTAGGAATGGTTTGGTCTAGATCGGTGGTTCTCAAAGTGTGCCACAGTGACCCCATGACCCTTTCAAGGGTCTTTCTGTTTCTCTGCTCCCTTCAGCTGGGGTGGTACAAGATCTGCCTAGCTGCATGCCGTATGACCTAGCCAGAGAAGATGGAGCCAGGTTCTAGGGGGCTTTGAATCCTGTCCCAGGACAGCATCTGAGTCCAGGTTCCCAGGCTCGGCCTTTAACGTACTCTGGCTTTTCTTTGTTTTGTCAGCGAGATGGTTGCCCAAAGATTGTCAACCTGGGGAGTTCCAAGACTGACCTTTTCTATGAACGAAAGAAGTATGGCTTTAAGAAGAGGTGATTGGCTTGACCCTCATTGCCCCACCGCCATACTGCTGCCCCAGCTCGAGAAGACACCCTCACCACCATGGAAAGGGGAAAATGGGACCCAAGGAGCACCAGATTTGCCGATGACTACCTCCCCCTCTACATCATTTCCACCCCTGTCCCCTCACCCAGAAATGTGGCAGAGGAAAGAACAGGATTCTGCCTAGGTAACAGGTAACAGCTAGAAATGGGATCTCAGATGGCCCTTTCTTGTGTATAAGAAGCTGGGGCGCAGTCTTCTCGAAGGCTAGCATCATGTTAGTCCAGTCTTTGGGGAGCTGCCCATGAAACCCAGCAGCAGCAGAGTGAGGAATGTGGTCTTGCAGTCAGCTCCTCAAGAATCACCCTCCTGAGCACTAGCAGCATTTTAGGTGGGGTGAGAAATGCGTCAGAGCAGTCACAGTGGGCTGCCGCTGTGGCCAGGCATGCCTCTGGGGTCACGGTCATCACATTTTCCTTTTCTCCTGAGCAAAGATCTTCTCTGTAGCCGGTGTTAATAAAGTTGGTGTTTTCTTTTCTACTTGCAGTCTTCTGTGCCTTGAATTCTGTCTCTCTCTCTCTCTCCACATCTTGGGATAGGAGGGTAAAAAAATCAAAGAATTCGGTCAGAGGGGCCCAGGGCAGTTTCCCGGACCCCTTAATGTTTCACACAAAGGTAGGAAACTCCAGAGAGCACTTTGATATGCAAGGGCCTCAGCTGGAGGTCCTTGGCCCATTATGTACAGCTCTTGGAGTTTTTCTTTGTGTTACCAATGAGTTTGTTAGTATTTAGGAACAGGAATATAAGATTAACCCCCTCGTCCTCTAGTAACTCCTGAAAGTCCATCAAAACCTCCTGGTGCCACTCTTTCTGGTTTTACCAGGCCTCTCCTTGAAAAGGGGATGGTTCTTTTTTTCCTTCCTTTTGGCAACAGGCTTAATCAGTGGCTGCCAGAGGAGATTTCTAAGGGAAGGGGACAGACAGGATTTAAATTGGATTCATCACTAGATAGGAACAAAGTTTAGTTGAATTTTTCCTTTTCTTTTTCTATTTTTTTTTTTGGTTTGTTTGCTTGATACGGTTTGAGTGCACATTCACAACTCTGGGATAGAAGTTTCTGTTGGAGAAGGTATGTACCATTTTCTGTCATGCAACAAACATTCCTCAGTGATTACAGAGCCCGGAGCCAGGTGTCAGGGTGGGTATAGAGATGAGATGGGCAGTCAACACAGCTTAATGCTAGAACAAGACGTTACACTGCAGTGGCATCAGAGAGGGAAGATTGTTGTCAGCTTCACAGAAGACTAAGTGGGGCTTTGGAGAGTCTAGGAAGAGCCCAGGCTGACAGGAATGATAACCTGCATTTCTCCAGGGCTCAAAGCTTAACAAAGAGGCAGCTGAGTGGCCCAGTGGGTAGTCAGGAGGCCTGAGCTCAAATGCGGCCTCAGACACCTAATGCTTACTAGCTGTGTGACCCTGAGCAAATCACCTAACCCCATTGATTGCCTAGCCAAAAAAAAAAAAAAAGCTTAACAAAGCCCTTTGCTCACAACAGGTAGATAAAATAGTCCCATTTTACAGATAGGAAAAGTGAGGCATAGGTAAAATAGCCATAAGTCCAAGTCCCTTGTACTCACTTTTTCTTCATCAGTGACCAAAAATAATGGAATTTAGGGAAGATGTTAAGAACCTACCTGAATTAAATTAAGGGGGCTTAGAGTTCAAATCTTGGCTTCATTGCTGACCAGCTAGGAATAATGAAGAGAATTACTGGATTATTTCTTTTTTACTTTCATGAAGAGTGATTGGAAGATTGATTTCTAAAATTGACTACTAACACTAGTCATCAATGCTGGTATCTATGATTTGGAAAAATCGGCAGGAATTACGATTTAGGTAGAGACCCTTGAACGTGGTTGTCAGGATAAGCACTCCAGGTCTGTGTGGCCGAAAAATAGTTCATGGGATTGAAGGATTCTGAGCTAGGAAGGGCCTTAGCCATCACCTGCCTAGTCCAGCCCTATCGATTTAGTTTACAAATGCCCACGGACAGGAAGCCACTCACTCCATTGACTTTACCTATTGAGCTAAACACATCTCACAAGTCTCAAAAAGGAAAAAACATCTCTGTAGAGCCAAGTACTGTGCTAAATACTCTTAGAAATATTATCTCATTTCATCCTCACAACCTTCTCTGCAACCCAGCAACCCACATCTCTTATTATTCCCATTATATAGTTGAGGAAATTGAGATAGAGATTAAGTGACTAGCCCAGGGTCACACAGCTAATAAACATTGGAGGCTGAATTTGAGTTCAAGTTTTTCTGACTCCAGGCCCAGTACTCTGAATGCTGTGGTACCAACTGCCACTTAATTTCCCTGTGCCTCAGTTTCTTCATATGTACAATGAGAGGGTTGCACCAGAAGGCCTTTGAGACCTCTTCCAGCACTAAACCCATCGTGGGTAGGTAAAAGACTTGAATTAAGACCAGTGAGTGAACTGCAGACTGCCTGGAGCATAAGCCTATATGAGTCTGTTCTCTAATGCCTTAGATTGAAGCCTGAAGCATGGATGCTAAAGGTTCTTTTGTGGAGACTGGGGTTTTATAACCCCCCAATATACACACACATATACATACATACATACATACATACATACATATATATATATGTATATACACACAGACACATATATCTCTTGATCCCATTACAGTCATTCTTGGGGTTTTCCTGAACCTTTACCCACCATGGCGGGTTGTGGCACAGATGTGATTTTCTTTAAACGACGAACTGGGATTTCTCAACTCCCCACGTTCGTCTAAATTCACCATCATTCACGGTGAGTACAATAGCATTTGCACCCTCAAAACTAGTTCCTTCTGTTGTTTTTCTGATTTTGGTTCAGCGGGAGATTCAGGTCGGAAGAAACTGGATTGAAGACCACAACAAACCCCAAATTATTTTCTTTGATGACTTCAAAGAGCTCAGGAACCATTTCTCACTCTGGTGTGGGTAGTCCTCCACTCGGGGAGAGTTAATTGGGGCAAATTATAACCTGCCTGACCCGTCCCAGCACTAAGCCATTTGGTAGGACTTGCTGACCACTGGAAAAAGGGAAGAAAGTTTGCTGCTGTGTCCCCTCCGTAGTCTCCATGCCTGCTTGAGAAATTGAGCAGCCCACTGGGCTCTTTTTGGATAGGACCATTTGGAAAGGTAGGAGACCAGCTGAAGTGCCTGAGTGTGAATTTGTGGACAATTACTAGCCTGCCCTAGAGGAAATTGATTATTAGGAGAAATCTTCGTGTGTGTGTGTGTGTGTGTGTGTGCACGCGCGCGCGTGTGTGCGCATGTGTGTGTGTGTGTGTGTGTGTGTGTGTGTGTGTGTGTGTGTGACATAGGAGCTGAAGAAATCCCCTCTTTTCCTCCTGATTTTGGGGTGTTCTTAGCCCTTCACAGGGAGACTTGAATAAAGGCACACACAGACTCAGGGAAACTTGAAACCATCCAAGCACAGGGAGGACAGAATCAGCTGACACCCAAGGATAGGAGGTGGAAACCTCATGTCCTTTACCAGCTTAATGACCCATCACGTGGATGTGGACAGAGATTCTGTCTCCCTTCCACTGTGGTGGAAAGGGAAGAAATGAAATCAAAGTCAGCAGAGCCACATTCAAACCCCCCAACACTGTGACCTTTGACAATCATGTCCTCTTTCTGGCCATCAGACTTTAGGAAGGAGATTTATATGTGGTTTAGCCTGGGGAAGAGGAGGGAACATAATGATTTCTAAAATTGAATACTAATGCTAACCATCAATGCTGGTCTCTGTGATTTGGAGGAATTGACGGGAGTTACAATTTATGTAGAGACCCTCGAATGTGGTGGTCAGAGGATCACCTTGTAAGAGCTGTATTCAGTTACCTTAAGGGCTGTCCTGTGGAAGGATTGGCCTCAGAAGGCAGAACGAGGAATTTGAGAGCAATGAGTGAAATTGTTACAGAGAGGTGTATAGGCATAGGATTAATATAAGGAACACCATCCCAATAAGGGAAACAGGGGGACCAAGCACTGATTAAGCTCCTACTATGTGCCATGCACATTAGAAATCCCATGCCATTTGATCCTCACAAGAACTCTGGCAGGTAGGTGCCATTATGAACTCCTATTTTACAGATGAGGAAACTGGGTCTAAATTCCTTGTCCAGGGTCTCACAGCTAGTGAGTGTCTTGAGTCTGAATTTGAACTCAGGTCCTGCTAACCCTAAAAGTAGATTGGGCTGTCAGGGGAGACAGTGGGTGGGGGGCCCCAAACAGAAGGTCTTCAAGTAGATACTGGATGACCATTTCTCAGGGACTCTACATTCATATTGAAAGCCCTTCCTACTCTGATTTAGCAGTTCTGTGAAAATGCTGATTGGGACTGGGCCAGTAGAAAACCTTTAAACTTGGGGGCCACAGGACCCCAGGCTCAAATCCCAACTCTGCCACTTACCGTAACTTGTGTGACCTTGGGCAACCAAAATGAGGAGGGGGTTGGACCAGATGGTCTCAGGTGGCTCTTCCCACTGCTGAGATTGGAAAGGCATGTCAGTGACCACAAACTAGTAATCCTAGATAGTTGTTGGGACCAAACACTTTTCCTTTGACCAACACAGCTCTTAGATTTCTGTATTATCCATGATTCCCTCTGGCTAAGGCAAGTTTTTCACCCCCTGGATCCTAACCAGCCGGAGAGGATTAAAAAAAAAAAAAGTTGAGCTACGACTACAACTCCCAGCACCCCTTGCTTTACACGCGTAATCCTATTGGCTCCACGCAACCACCTCCCCGCCCCCTCTGCCTGCCTCATTCCTATTGGTCAGTTTCGAAGGCCAATCAGATGCTGCCAGTCGCACTTGCTAGCCAATGGGAAGGCTGTTGCTAACATGTCGCTTATATTTTTAGCTTGCCTCTGCTCGTGCACCTAGCAGGTCTGTTTAGCCCCATGTGGAATGGGGAGGAGGGAGAGAGCAGGAAGAGGAGGAGGAGGAGGAGAAAGAGAGGAAAACAGACAGGGAGGGAGGGGAGGGGAAGGGAGATAGAGAAGGGGAAGAGAAAGAGAGGGAGGGAGGGGCAGAGAAGAAGGGGAGGAGAGATGGGAGAGGGGAGGGGGAAAGAGAAGGAGGAGAGAGGTAGAAGGGAAAGAAAAGAGGGAGAGGGAGACGGAGAAAGGAGAGAAAAGGGAGGGAGGAGAAGGAGAAGAAAGAAGAAGGGGAGGGGAGATAGTGAGATGGAGTAGAGAGGGGAAGCCTAAAGGAAGGAGAGGAAGAAAGAATTAGGGAAGAGAAGAAGAGGTGCGGGAGATAATGGAGGAAGAAGACAGGCAACTGGAAGGAGGGCATTGAGGGGGAGGAGGGGAGGGGAGAGGAGAGAGAAGGAGGAAGGAGTGGAGGGAGGGTCGGGGGAGGGGGAGGTGAGTGTGTGCAGGTCACCCGCTCCTACTGGCTCTTACGCACCAGAAAAGTAGTCCGTGGAGGTGCCCCTCTCCCGTGTCCGCCCCACCCCGGCTGAGCTTTCGCTAAGACTAGAGAGTTGGGGGGGGCGGAACGTGCCTTGTCCCCCTGCCCCACCCTTGCCAGTGGGAGATGCGTCCCCAGCATTTGCACTGCAGCTGCGAAGGGAAGCGCTTGGAGACCTGTCCCTTCTTTGTCCCCTGTCCCCTGGCCAAAAAAAGCAGCGTGTTCAAGAAAAGAAAATTTAAAAAAAAAATCAATAAGCCCGAACTTGTCCGGAGCTGAAAACTTGCTGATCTCGCTGCCCACGAGGGCTGCCAGCCAGCGGGCCGGGCATGCTGGCATTCGAGAGAAGGGTCGAAGGCGGAGGAGGACTGGGTGACCAAGACCCGGAACCCCCGGCCCAGACAGCCGGACAGAGGACAGATGGAGTGTTTGTGCACACGCACGCACACGCACACGCACACGCACACTCGAGCTACCTAAGGCTTGCTCGCCTCTCGGAAGGAAGGGATGGGGGATGGAAGTCCGGGGATGAGGGAATGGGAGGAGGCGTCGGCGCACGTGTCCCAGAGAAACACGCAGAAAGGACTTCAGAAGCAGACTTCACGAGCCACCTGACAAATCTGCTGCTGGCGTCACAACCAAGCCCCCTTCCCCCTCCCCCGCCACGCGGGCCCCCCTCCCCCCACCCCCCTGGGGCTCCGCCGCCCGCTACAGTCATAAAGAGCCAGAAACCGGGGGCGGGGAGCCTCTGGCGGGGGGGCGGGGGCAGGGCCAGCGCAGGAGCCGAGCGACCTACAGGGGCGTCGGGCGGTTATGCAGGTGGGGGAGGGCGCGAGATAAACCATGCCCCATTTTTGCTCCCAGCAGCAGTAGCAGCGGCGGCGGCGGCGGCGGCAGCGATGACAGCCACTCTCACGCTAACTTGAGGTACTCTCCGCGTTCTGGCTATGGAAGCGCCCTTAGGACCCCTCTCATGCCCATCCCACCCCCTACCCAGTGAGACGGCTAGCCTCGGAGAGAGGCCACTTGCACGGGCCACCGGGTGTCCCCACTGGGGGAGCTCATCGCCCCCAGTGTCCGGACTTCTCTTAAAGGGGAGTGAGAGGGGGTGTTTCTGCTTGCCAAGAGATCGTGCGAGCCACGAGGATGTCTCCGAAATGCACCCGCGGAGAAGAAGGTGGCGGCAGTGGCCATGCTGGCCACTGCGCCCTCCTGGGGACTCCTTCCACCCTAGGGCTTTGCAGATAAAGAGGAGGTGCGAGAAAGAGCTAACTAGAGGAGGTTGTTCGGTTCCCTTGCCACCTCCTCGCCCACTTCTGTACCCGAAGGTCCTCCAGCTCCCCCCTCCCATCCCCACCGTAGCCGCTTCACCCACTTGTCCTCCCTTCTTGCCTCATCTCCTCCACGTTCTTTTCCCTCTCGGCTTTCAAGCGTTAAATTGTTCTCGTGCTCTGTCCTAAGTCCTGAACAGATAAGCTGCTTGGGGGAACCTGGAATCAAGCCGAGTTTAGGGACTGATCGCTCCAAAGCTCCCAGAGAGGGATGCTTTCTCCTTCCTAGCCCTCCTGCTTGGGGCACTCCAGATAGCTGAGAGCCATGGGAGCTTGTGGGTCACACAGCCTGTGCTCTGTAGAAATGGACAGGACCCTGTCGGGAGGTGGGGAAGGGGACAGAGTCTTGTGTCGCACACTCAGCCTGGGCAAAGGGGGGGAGACGGGGATTTATAGAGTATCCTGGAAACAGTGTGTAAGTCACCACTCCTCTTTGGGCTTAAGGTGGAGAAGTTTGGAGGGGTTTGTCCCGGTGTATGGCTCTAGCTGTGCCACTGACTCTCGGGATGTGACCTTGGGCGCTTTAAATCACTTTCTCTCGTTGGGCCTCAGTTTCCCCGGCTGTATAATGGGAGGGGGTTAGGTTAGGTGGACGTAAGGTCTCTTCTGCGTTCTAGAATTCTGTGAGGGGGAAGAAGGGGACGGAGGAGAGAAAAAAGTGAGGGGCAGAGAGGAGACAGAGAAAGAAAGAGCTGAGACAGAAAAAAAGGAAAATGGGGGAAGGAAGGAAGAATCTAGGAGAGAAAAGAGGAAAGAAGCATACAAGGAAGAAGAAAGGGACAAGAGACGAAAGAGGAAGAGAGAAGTAGAAGAAAGGGAGACAAAAAGGAGAAAGAAGAGAGAGGGCAAGAAGCAAAAGTAGAGGAAAGAAGAAGAAGGAACAAGAGGAGAGAAGGAAAGGGGAAGTGAGGAGAAAGAGAAGGGGCATCCTGGAGAAGAGAGAAAAGAGTGGAGAGAAGAAAGGAGAAAAGGGGGAGATTTGAACGAGAAGGAGAAAGAAGGCAAAGAGGAGAGAGAACGGGGAGAGGGGGAGGAGTAAAGGAGACGAGAAGCCCCAGCCTGGGCGGCTCTGGAGCCGCTGTTTCGTAGGGTCGGTCCGTCGGGGTGGCGGCGCGGGCAAGAGTGGGTTAAAGGCGGCGGCGGCCCGGGCTGCTGGCTCGGGCTGGGCTTGGAAGGGGAAGTAGTCCCGGCTCGGGCCGTACTCCTTCCCCTCCCTCCTCTTGCCCCCTCCCCCGCGGAGCCGCGTCACCGGCCGGGGATCCGGGATCCGTGCGCGAGGTTGCTAAGGGTGAAACTTTTCATTGACTTCGCTCACTCGGAGCGGGCTGGGGCCGGGCGAGAGAGGCAGGGACCGGCGGGCGGGCGGACTGGGCGGCTGCGGCGCCGCGGCGGCGGGAGGCCAGGCATACATACCGACGGACGGACGCACGGACTCCCCGACTCCTCCCCGCTACTTCTCCGCCCTGCCCCCCAAAAACCACCTTCCAGCGCCATCGCCGCCCTCCCCCTGCCGTCGAGCCGGGAACAAAGAGCGCTTAGTTGTCACCCTGCGACGGCCCGGGAGCTCGCCACCGATCGGCCGGCCTCAAAGTCTGTTTTAACCCCCCCACCCCCACCCCAAGCAGGCAGCACCTGGTGAAGAGGAGGAGGCAGAGACACCCCCCCATCCCCACGCAGAGACACCCCTCCGACCCCCACCTAGCCCAGCCCGCCCGGCCCGAGCAACACCCTGGAGGCAGCCGCAGCAGCAGCCGCCGCCCCCCCGCCGCCGCCGCCGCCGCCCTCCCGCCTGCCCCGGAGCTCCGGAGGCCCGAGGGACGAGTGAGCCAGCCCGAGAGACAGAGAGAGCCAGCCAGTGAGTGGGGTGGGGGCTTGGGGGGCTTCCCCGTCCCCCGCCCAGCCCCCCACCAGCGTCTCCCTTAGCGCCCCAGCTCCTCTCCTTGCCTGTCTCTGCCCGCAGCCCCTTCCCTCGCTTGCCCAGTCTCTGCGTCTGCCTTCTGCAGCCTCCCTCTCCGTCATGCCCCTTCTTGTTTGCTCGGCTCGGTGCCCTGTGCCCTCTGCTCGCCCTGGATCTGCCCCCGCCTCGCTCCGCGCTCACTCTCGTCTGTCCGTCGGTCATTCATCCTCACTCTGTTCTCGGACCTCTTCCCCTCTCTCCCCTCTCCCCCCTCCTCTTTCCTCGCCTCTCTTCTCCTGCCCTCATTCTTTCCCCTCTTCTTCCGGAATGCCCCTCACCCCCTCGGTTTCCCTGTTGACTGTGTGTCCCCCCCCCCCCCCGACTCCCCTCTGGCCTCCTCCCTTCCAGACCTCCCGGTTGCAATCCTACTTGGCTCTGCACTCCCTCCTGTGTGCTCCCTTTCCTCGTCGTCTCTCCCAGTATTTCTGGCCCCCTTGTCTGGGCTCTCTGCCCTCTTCCCTCTCACTTGTCTTCCCACTTGGCTCTCATGTCCCGGCCCTTGAGCGCCCTTCCATGCTTACCTCCCTTTTTCTCCTTTTGTGCCTCTCCAGACCCCCCCCCCCGCATTCAGTCATCCCTCAGGAGTCCTTGACCTTCCCCCCCACCAGGATCCCATTTTCCCTCTTTGCCTAACTCTGGCCTCCCCTTTGACCCAACCTGACCTTCCTCCACTCCCCTCCCCAACACTCCTCCCCCACTAAACTTTCTCATGGCTAGAGGATTCCTTCCCTCTTAATTTGCCCCCCACCCCACCCCAATCCCCTGTAATCTCTAAATTTTTCCTCTTAGTTCTAAGAAGCTGGAAACCTCTCAGGTTGAACTGGATAGATTAACAAACCTACTGGCCCCCTAGGGCCACTTTGCCCCTCCCCCACTGACTCAGAGGCCTTGGGTTTTCTGTCTACCACCTGGGACATCGTTTTAGTATTCTCTTTTACTCTCTAGTTTTCCACAGTAGATCCTTTGGGGGCGGGGTGGCTGGTGGTTAAGGTCCTGAGTGGCCCCAGTGCCCCCCCAGTCACCATTTTGAGTTCATTCCTCTCAAGCTTTTGGAGTATGTGGTAGGGAACCCAACAGTATGGGACTGGTTACCTGGGTTGTGGTTATGTGCTGAGATAAGGGGCCTGGGATGGTGGAGAAAGGAGTGAGAAGTCTGTCCCCTCTCCCCAGCAAAGGTCACTGAGTTGGGATCCTGTCCCTGAGTAGAGAAGAGACTGCCTTTGGCCAGATAGAGAAATGAGGGAGCAGAACAAGAGGGGAGATAGATACACAAAACAGACTCATCCGAGGGATTTCTCTTCCTTTATTATTCACCACAAAGCTGTGGCCAAAGTAGGTGCTTTGGAGTGATTGCTTCATGTGTGGAAGGCATTCTTCTCTCCCCACCCTCTGAAACTGGGCTAGTTTACCTGTCTTCTACCTCTTTCTACCTACCTCCCTATTTCTCCGAGTTGCCACCCAGTATTACATCCCCACCCCCTTAGAAAGGAAGAAGGAAAAAAACCCCACAAAACTTGTGTGGGAGGAAGAATTAAGGAGATTAACCTCCCTGGGAAGAGGGATCTTTGCTGGGATCTCGTTGCTCTGATTGCAGGGCAGGCCCCTGGGTGGGAGGAATTTTATACACAGGAAGAGTCCTTGCAGGTGCAAAGTGCTGAGCTGAGCCGAAGAGTGCCAGGGACCTTGCCCCACTTGACTAGGCCAGGCTGGGTTGCTTTGGACGACCATCAGCCCTGGAGAGGGCAGGCCTGGCACGTCAGAGGCCCCCTGCACCTTGCATTCCCTTCTGCCCCTGCTAAGATGTGGACAGGCTGCCCCTTTTCTGCGGGAGAAAACAGGGACAATTTTTTCTGGCTCTTTGTATCTCCTCCCCCCCTCCCCCACCCCCCCATGTGACCGCCTGTCTCCCTCCAGGAGCTCCAGACTAGGCTGAGCCTGGTGTATGGCTTTCAGATCAAGGGAGAGGAGAGGTTTACTTTGGGGGAAATACCCTTACTCCTCCCCTAGCACTCCCAGACCTGCTTAGAAATAGCCCCCTGCCCCAGTTGGGGAGATAAAGGAAATAGAAGGGATGGAAGCATGCATATTGTTGACTGGCGCTGTAAGACCTGCATTGATGAGGGAGGGCGACTCTTCCCTGGTAATTGGGCCAAGCTGGGGATAAAACAGAAGGGTCTCCATTTAGACTTGTAGTAATGGGGGGGGGACCCAGCCACTGCGCATGTGCACTGGAAACTTTTCCCTTACTTCTTCCCCACCCCTCTCCCACTGGGCATGCGTGAGCTGCCTGATTCTTGAGCCTTTCGACCTTCGCGAGGCATATTGGGAAATGTAGTTGGAAGGAAAAGTAGGTCATGGGCCCAGTACTAGTCCTTGGCTTGTCCGAGGACTACAGTTCCCAGAATTCAGTTCGGTCTCCCTCTTTGATGTGTCTCCCCCCCTCCCCCCAAGGGGTTTGCCGAAGTTTGTTTGGCTGGTTTCTGGGGAAGGTCTCCTGTGGCTGGGATGGAGTGGGTTGGAGTTCCCACCCACGCCCCCAGCGCCTAGTAATGCAGGGGTGTGAGGGCGGGGCAGGAGAAGGATAGTTATCATAAAGCCTATAGATGTGTCATCTCTTTCAACCAAATTTGCCAGTGCCTTGCTGTGAGATATTGGGGAAGTGGGGGCATGGAAGGGGCTCTGACTCCAGAAGATTCGGGGGTGTGAGCCCCCGCCCAGGCTTGGACACTTCCTGCCTATGTGACCTAGAGCTGGCTCTCCCAGGCCTCTATTTCCTGGCCTGTGAAATGGGCACAAATATACCTGCCCCATCCACTTAAAGCATAGAGTAACAGTGAGGTTAATACATAGGGTAAAGCTCCTTTAATTGTTGGGGTATTGTGTGTGTGCTAGTGTAAATGACGTTATTAAGCATCATACCCTCCCTTTGACCATTTTGGAGGTCACCTCAGGGAGCAGAAGGGGGAGGGGAGGAGTAGGTGCTGGGGACCTCAAATATTTATACCCAAATGGCAGGACCAGACTTGGAATCCAGAGATGGAGGTTTGCGTCTCATCTGCATTCCTCATAGGTTGTGTGACCTTGGCGTGGACTCAGTTTCCCCCTCTGTAAAATGAGAAGATCCCTTTTACAGATTTCAGTTCTGTGAGTAGAGAGGAGGAGGTGGTAACAATACAGAGCTGTCTTGCTTGATTCTTGAGCCATACTGTTTGGCCTGGCTCTCCAGGTCCGTGCCAGCTTGAGCAGAGTGGAGGTGGACCTGGCACAGGGTGCCTACGCCTGAGAGGCGGTAGGAGGCCATGGCATCTTCCTCTCATGCCTCACCCTGGTGTTCTGCCTCTCCCTCTGTCCCTCTCTGCTTCATCTGGGCATGTGGCCAGGAGGTAGCTGTCACTTTATCCCTCAAATTCCATTTCTGTTGTTTAAAGGTAGGATTGTGAAGACACTCAGTTTGGGAATCTGACCAGGGCAGGCAGTTGGTTCAGACTGCTGGATGGGATGGCTTGGGGGAGGCAGGCGCTGGCTGACCGTAGGGAAAGCTTGACCTTTGCCCATTTAAACCAGGGGGAGGGCTCTGTCCTTGTCTCCTGAGCATTCGATCCCCCGATACCAACTGCCTCTCTTCTTATGGGATTTGTGTTTGTTCACTCATTGCTCCCCTTTCCTTTCTTAAGGACCGTTCCTTCCTTTTTCCTCTGTTGAACCATTTCCCCAGACTCCTTCCCTTCTCTCCCCACCAACTTCAGAAACCCTTTTAGGGAGTTGGGCTTTTTAAGTTTGTTTCTGCTGGGAAGTAGAGTAGAATGTTTCCTGCCCGTAGTCTGGCCTCTCATCCTAGTGATTGGGGCTCTTTTGTGTTTCTACCCCCCAAATCCCTTTTCTTTTTCTTCTTTATGAACTCCCAAAGGCCTTGGTGGTGCCTGCCGGGACACAGGCTGCCGGCTCACTGTTTGGAGTCGCAAGCCTGTTGGCATCCCGTGCCCCCGAGGTCACCTTGGATGGACATTTCATTTGCAGGGGCCTCAGTTTCTCCCCAGTACAGTAAGGGGCTTGTGCCAGATGGCTCCTGAGATCCCTTCCTTCTCTGGATCTGTGATTGTGTTCCCAGCCACCCTTATGACAAGTAGTCACCACTGAGCTGGATGAGAATGCTTGGCTGGATCTCAATACGGACACCTCCTTGTGCACCTGTGGTTCGCCACTTCTCCTCAGAGAATCCCTGAGGATCAGAACTTTCCAGCTGGAAGGAATGTGAAAGACCCTGCAGTCAAAGCCAGTGAGTCACCCAAGGTCATCCAGGACACTTGCTTCATTGTGAGCCTTAGGAAGAATTTACTGCCTTTTTCAAACATCTGCTAAATGTGCATTTTGTTTCTTATAATAGAACCCCCAACGTTTTTCTTTCTGAAGCTCCTCCCCCTCCATATTCTGCCTTTATAATCCCCTTTAAATTGAATATATTAGCTTAGAGGTCATTTATTCTAACTCCCTATTACATAGTGAAGAGGCTGAGGCATGAGGGAAATGACTTGGCCAAGGTCTCAGAGCTAGGTTTGACTTCTCAGTCTGTTTTTATTTTTTAACAAGACCCTGTGCTCTTTCCTTTAGTCCGTGAAAGTCATGAACTCGTGTCAGAGGGGCCCCTCCTCTGACTATCTGGTAGATGGCCCCAGGGCCATCTCTCCCATCCAGAATGTGTCCACAGCTTAAAAGCCACCAAATCCTTCCGTGGCCCAGCTCCGAAGCTGGAGCTTTGGGGATACTGCTTTGTCCTCTGCCCCTTGAGCCACTTAGAGTGGTCTGAACCTGGAGGCCTTCCCTCTGTTGTCCTCCCTGCCTCTTTTTTTTTTTCCTTTCTGGCAAGGCTCCACCCTGAAGCCATCTGGCCTAGCCTGTTCTCCAATTGGAGAGGTGAGGTGTCCTGGTCAACTTCCTTATTTGTGAAGCCTCCTCTCTCAGGTATGGTTGGGCCCCAGCTGGAATATGTGGGCACTGCTGCCCAGGTGGGGCTGGTTGCCGGCTCAGATCAGGGAGGGAGCCCTTTAGAGACTGAGCTGCCCAGGGGAGAAACTGGGGAAGAAAAGGAATCTCTGGGCTTCCTGCTCAGTGCAGGCTCCCCTTGGAATTCCGTGGCTGTCTTAGGAACAGGAGGGTTGTGCCTGGGATCTGGCCCATCGAGGGAGCCGTTTGGGCTCATGTGGGGTAGCGCTCTCTGTAGCCTTTCTGAAGGCTTTGCTGAAAGCAGGAACAAAGACAGGTGCTTGCTTCCAGACTGCGTGGGGAGTAGGGGAGCTGTCTCAGGGTTCTTTCTGGCTTTGTCCTTGTGGCCTCTATCTACGCCTGCCCGGTGCTTGGGAAACAAAACCCCAAATGAAACCGTCTCCACCTGGGGAGGCAGCAGGTCTGCACAGGAGTAAGTGCAGGAGTTAGCAAGTGAAGATGGTCATTTCAGTGTGGGAGAGGTGGCAGCAGCAGGTGGGGGTGGGGGGACTCAGGAAGGCTTCATGGAGGAGGTGGCTGTGAGGATGGAGGAGGCTGTTCCAAGTGTGGGCATAGAGATATGGACTGTTGTGGAGGAGACCAGTTGGCTGGTCAGGATGTCTGAGCCTAAAGAAGGCAGGCTGGATCAAAGAGGGAAGCTGGAGGCAGGCAGAGCCTCATTAGGAGGCTCTGGCAATAGCCTGGGACTGAGGTGAGGAGGGAAGAGGCCCAGCTGTCAGAGGCCAGGCCCAAAGGCTCTCCCTGGCAGGAGAGGGGCTCAGGATAGCTTCAGAGCCCCAGTCGGGGTGGGGGACCTGTGGCCTTGAGGCCACGTTTGGCCCTCTAGGTCCTCAAGTGAGGCCCTTTGACTGAATCCAAACTTCACAGAACAAACTTGGACTCAGTCAAAAAGGTCGTACCTGAGGACCTAGAAGGCTACACGTGGCCTTAAGGCCGCAGATTCCCCACCCCTTCGCCCAGGTTCTAGAAGCTTTGAGCTTAGCCGCAGATGTGGAGACCTAACTGAGTGCTGCAGCAGAGACATCCCATTGCAGGAATACATTTATCATTCTTTCCAGCTGGTGTGCGGCTTCCCTAGGGTCAGAAAATTAGTAGCAAGAGTCCTTAGAAATCAGTCATCTAATCTAGTTCCCCATTTCACAGATAAGGAAACTGAGGCCCAGGGAAATATAAAGTGATTTGTTCATGTGGCCTAGCTAAGACTCCGACCCATGCTTTCCAACTTCAGGTCCAGTGTTCTGTGCACTGGGGAGACAGATCTGCCTCTCTGTTTGGTACACAGAGAAAGGGTCCTAGAGACTGCAGGTGAGAAGGGACCTCCTAGGCCGTCTGGCTCAGCCTCTGGTCTGTCTCTGGCGTCCCTGGCTGCTGCCTCAGGCCTCCATCACCCAGGCAGCACGTTCTGCCCGTGGACATCTCAGATTGTTAGCCTGCTCCTCCTGACATCAGCCTCAGTGTGCCTCTGCAGCATCCACTCACTGAGCCTGGTTGTGCCCTGGGGCCAAGCAGACCAAGCCAGAGCCAGATCTCACTTCCCAGCAGCAGCCCTAAGATGCTTGGAGGCAGCTGAGGCCTCTCCAGCCTAAAAATCCCTGCTCTTGGGACAACTGTCTCAAGCTCTCTGCTCCCTGCTCCCCGCCATCATGGCTGGCTTTCTCTGGAGATCCATTGTCCAGCATGGAACAGAGAGTTCCAGATGGGATCCGACCAGGGTAGGAACCATGGGGCTGTCATCTTCCTGGTCTTGGAAACTTTTCCATTAATACAGCTTAAGATCATGGGAACTAGGGCCAGAAGAGACCTGAAAAGATCCTTCTCTTCATTTTTCTTTTTTTTTTTCCTGCTTTTTGGTGAGGCAGTCGGGGTTAAGTGACTTGCCCAGGGTCACACAGCTAGTAAGTGTCAAGTGTCTGAGGCCGGATTTGAATTCAGGTCCTCCAAGGCCAGAGCTCTATCCACTGTGCCACTTAGCTGCACCGCCCCCCCCTTCATTTTATAGCAAAGAAACTGAAGCCCAGAGAAGTGAAATCACTTAACTCAAGGTTACCCAGCTAGTAAGAGACAGACTCTATTTACATCACTTTTCGGGGGGGGGGGAGACAGCTGTGTCACCCTGACTTCTCTTGACCTTGAGCCTGTGGTCTTCTAAAGCTCCTAGGTCTCTCTGTGGGAGCCCTGGCCTCACCAAGCTGTGTCGTCCTTGTGCGTCCAATTCACCCAAACGTAGGCCTTTGCGTTTTTTTTTTCTATTGACTCTCACCCTCTCCGTACTGGTCCGGTCTAGTCTGTCAAGGGCTTTGTGGTTCTGTCATCCATTGTGGTGGGTAGTGGGCGGCCAGGCTAGGAAGGGTCACAGAGGCTGGAAACTGGACCTTGAAGGGCCCCTGGTACGGTCTCCTGCCCAGTGAGTGACTCCCAAGCAAGTGGCAATTCACTAGAAAACTTTTCCCAACACTTCATTATTGAGAAGTCTGGTCTTAACTGGAGTCCAGAATAACCTGCCTGCCCTTGATTTCTCCCCACTGGCTCTTGCTTGCTTCCGGAATTTAACAAATTCTTTTTCCTTTTTAGAGAGGCCTTCCTCGAAGTCACCCTCTCCCCTTGTTACCATGTATGTTTGCTAGGTATTCATCTATTGCCCTCCCCCTTCCCCCTCAGGGCAGAGAGGGGGCTGTCTCTGTGCCCCCAATCCCTAGCTCACTGCTCCTCCTGGGAAGCTTTGGGGAAATCATGCCGAGTTATTGAATGAATACCCCCCATCCCTTGGGATTGTCCCTCAGCCATGTGCACCGTCCTGCTCCCACCCCGTGGCTTCTCCAAAGCAAACACCCTCAATTCCATTATCCAGTTATCCAATTCCTAGTCCCCGAGTTCCCTACATTGTGACTATCCCTTGTATAGGAAGCTGGGAGCAATGGAAAGAGCACAGGGTAGGCCTCGGTTTCCCCATCTGTAAAATGATGGCATTGAACATTGCACAAGGTCCCTTCCCCACCCTAGCACCCCATGCCTCTAGCCTGTATTCCAAAGTCATGGCCTTTAGTGGGCAGTGTCAAGGAATGAGTGTCCCAGATATTGGGGTCTAGCCACTCCCCCATGCATCTTCATCTGGAGCTGGCCCAGAACAGGTGCTCGTGATTCGTGGTGGACATCTCATCCTCTGTGCTGAGTAGTGCATGTGTGGCCCGGGGAGTTGTTGAGAAACGCCTCTTGCCTCTGTCTCCTCTCGTGCTCTTCTGTCAGTTCTAGAACCGTCCCAGGTCCATTTCTCAAGAATTCTTCTCTTTGGGCCCGAGCAGCCGGTCCCTGACTTGTGGCTGGCAGCGCTGCCGCTCAGGGGCAGGGTGGTTCTTGGCCATTTCATTCAACGTCTCAGGCCCCTCCCAGTTAGCAAAAAGCTGTGATTTGATTTTGATCAGTGAAGGGAGGTAACTTCAGAGGCAGCTCCTTATACTAATGAAATTGAAAGTCGCCCCCAAAAAACTTGAGAAATAAGACCCAGAAATAAGGAAAGCTTGAGACTGACCTTTTTGTTTTCTTTGATCTCAGTGGGGAGTCCCTTCCAAATAGCCACCTCAGCGTTGGCCTTTTCTTTGGGAAATGATGCCAGGCCAAGGTGGCCAACAGACCTCAGAGAGGGTGAGCGGGAGAGGGGAGCATTCTCTGGTCATTGCCCTGGTTGGTCTTGAGAGCTGAAGGGCCAGGGGAGAAGGTGGCCTCCGATGATTCCTGGGAAGAGCTGGGGGGTTTCTGATGATGCCTGACTCCCATCCGCCTTCTGTGCAGACAGGAACACTTCTGTCTGCCCACACGCCAGCTCTGCTCCTGGTCCCCCTGACATCTCTGGCTTAGAAAGATTACCTGGTGACATGGGCAGCAACTCTCTCCGTGCCCTCTTCTGTTGACTTGGTGTGTCTTGGGGGGTCAATTGGGGTGTCTTTGCTCTGTAGGGATGTCCTGGAGTCCATCCTCCAGACCGTGGGTGCGTGTGTGTCCTGCCCATGTCCCCTTTACACGTATTGGAGGTGGCATGTTGGGCGAGGCTCCCGTCAGAGCCCCCGGCTGAAAGCTGGCCCTGCTGGGGCCTGCTTACCGGAACAGAACCTAGCCAGTGGCCCCTTCCATTTGCTAAGGGAACTCCAGCTCTCTGCCGTTTGGGGCCAAGTGCTGAGCCCTTGTGCAGATGTCCGCCGGTCGGGGAGCTCACCCCCATCCGTGCCCCGGCTTCCCTTGGATTTATGGGCGGCCTCCCCTCTCTTTCTTGCTTCCCCAGAGCCATCAGGAACCGGAAGGTGCCCGCGCGTGTGTCATCCGTCCTCACTGCCTGCACTTGACACACCGTGCTCCGCCTGCTACCCAGCGCAGGAGGAATATGCATGTGGAGATTAAGGTCGCCCTCAACTTCATCATCTCTTATCTGTACAACAAGCTGCCGCGGCGCCGTGCGGACCTCTTTGGTGAAGAACTGGAGCGCCTCCTCAGGAAGAGGTACGAAGGCCACTGGTACCCGGACAGGCCGCTCAGGGGCTCTGGCTTCCGCTGCGTGCACATCGGGGACACGGTGGACCCCGTGGTGGAGCTGGCGGCCAAGCGCAGCGGTCTGGCCGTGGAGGATGTGCGCGCCAACGTTCCCGAGGAGCTGAGCGTCTGGATCGACCCCTTCGAGGTCTCCTACCAGATCGGGGAGAAGGGCGCCGTCAAGGTGCTCTACCTGGACGACAGCGAGGGCTGCGGAGCCGCCGCCGAGCTGGACAAGGAGATCAAGAGCAGCTTCAATCCGGAGGCCCAGGTGTTTGTCCCCATCGGCAGCCAGGACAACTCCCTGTCCAGCTCGCCCTCGCCGTCCGCGGGCCAGTCGCCCAGCCCCACCTTCATCCCCCGCTCCGCCCAGCCCATCACCTTCACTACCGCCACCTTCGCCGCCACCAAGTTCGGCTCCACCAAGATGAAGAAAGGTGGCGGCGGGGCCGGGGGCGGCGCGGGAGGCCAGCAGCCGCCCCCCAGCCAGCAGCCCCGCCTGGCCAGGTCTCCCACCAGCACGCTGCTGAGGCAGAAGGGCCTCTCCCTGTCTATGCATTCTCTGAACTTCATCGGGGCGGGGCCGGCCCCCCAGTCCCAGCTGTCCCCCAACGCCAAGGAGTTTGTGTACAACGGTGGCTCCCCGGGCCTTTTCTTTGACGGGGCCGAAGGGCCGCCCAGCAACGGCCTGGCCCCCTCCGCCTTCGGTGGCCCCGGCGGCAGCTCCGGCGGCAGCTCCGGCGGCGGCGGCGGCGGCTTTGATGTGGCCCAGGTGTTCGGAGGCGGTGCCGGCGGCCTCTTCCTGGAGAAGTCGCCCTTTGTGGAGGGCCTCAGCTACAACCTGAACACCATGCAGTACCCCAGCCAGTCCTTCCAGCCCGTGGTCCTGGCCAACTGACCGCCGCAGGGGCCGGGGAAACTGCCGCCAAGAGAAAGGAAAGGAAAGGAAAAAAAAAAAAGGAAAAATAGAAATATACAAAAAGATTTCCGATCTTCTTCCTTCTGGCTTCTCGGACAAAACGAGGTGCACAGAGCAGGCCCAGGGCCTAGAGCTCCCCGAAGCCCCAACGCGGGTTTTGTCTTGATCCCCTGATGTTTTCCTGCCTGTCTCTGATTTTTTTAGTTGGTTGGTTTGGGGTTTGGAATTTCCTTCTTTCTTTTTTTTAATTTAGGATTTTTGTTTCCCCTAACATCGTTAGTGGCTTCTCGTGCTGAAAGTGGTCCAGATGGGTGTTTCCCCTTCCTCCCTCTCTCTCTCTTGTACCCCACTGATATGGGGCCTCTGCTGTCCAGAGAATGGCCCAAAGGGAAGGAAGGCCTCTCAGGCCCCTGGGGGAGAGGAGAGAGGAGGGAGGGTCTCCCTGTTAGATCACAGCCTCTCCCCACTCCCTCTCCAAAGCTATGCACCCTTTGTGGTCTGACCGGACCCCCAAGACATCGCTGTGGTCTGGCTGGTGAGGCGTGCTGGGCAGCAGTGGCTTCCAACCCCTCCCCAGCCCACTCCCACCCAGTTGGCTTAGGCCATGAGGAGAAAAGCCTTTGGGGTCTTCACCTCAGTTCTGTGGCCTCCCTCACCTTACCCCTTTCCAGCTTGACCGAGCCTTTCATCTCAGGGGCCCTAGGAGAGCCATGCAACCCTCAGCGTTCCGCAACTCGGGCATCTCCCTGGTGACTCAGTTGCCCCATTTCTTGGGTGGGTGGGGCAGGTCCTGTTTCAGAGGATTGAAAGGCTACAAAGCCATATCCTGGGGTGGGTGGTGTCTTTCTAGATGCTGAGGTATTCCTGATGGGAATGAGGTTGGTGGGTGGGGGAGGGTTAGTTCTGAGTCCTTTGGTGGGGGGTGGGGGGATGGCCCTAGAACACTCTGAGATCAATTGGGGTGTGCAGCACTGAGTGGAATTAGGGTTCTCAGCTGCCTGGTTTCCAGACTACCTGCACTTTTACTTCAGACTCTGACCAAAAATACAAAGAAACAAAGGTTTTCCGCTCCTGGTGAGTGAGTCAGGGCTGCACAGCACAGCCGGCCTGCCTGGGCCTTCCTCCCCTCCCTCGGAGTCCAGCCTTAAGCCAGGGGTGCAGACTGCTGGCCCTGAGGAACCCTGGAGAGCAGTGCCTGGAGGAGGGGGCTTGGACAAATGAGTGTCCTGAGACTTGAATTCAGAGTTCATTTTCCTTCCCCCTCTTCCCCCCTTATTTCTGCCCTTCCTTGGCCTTAAGCTGCAGTGGGGCTGGCTGCACCTTCCCCTCAGAGCCTGCCCTTCATTGCTGCCTTTTGTGGGGAGAGGCTGGGGCCGGACAGGAGCCCCCAGCCCGCCCTCCTCTGCCCACTTCCAGCCCTGTTCTGGAGTCAAGATCAGTCTGAGGAGGCCTTGCTTTGCCTTCTGAAGTGCAAGAGAGGGGAGTGGGTATGTGCAGCAGCTTCTGCTGGCCAGCCTCAGCCTGGCAGGGCCTCCCTCCGCCCATTAGTGAGCTTCTCACACACCCCCATCCTTCCCTGCCTCAGCCATTGGGATGTACCAAAGCTCCCTTGCCCAGGTGCCAAGGCTGATATGAAGCTGCGGTCCTGGTGGCATCTTGGCTGAGGTCCCCGCTGCAAGCGTAGCTGCCCTCCTTTCCCACCCTGCTCTTGGGCAGGTCAGCTCTACCTCCCCCAGCCAGGTGACTTCCTGGCTTTGTAACCCAGCACCACCCACCCCTGCCCTCTGCACTGTACTCAGGGTTGAGCCCTGGCTGGGCAGCCCTTCTCTCCCTCCTTAAAAAAAAAAAAATACACACACACACACACACACACACACACACACACACACACACACACACACACACGGACAAACCTGCCTCCCCCAGTGGGTGCCAGGGGCCCGGGCAGAATGGCCCTAGCTCTCCATGCAGCTTGTGAGAGATGGGATGCTTCCTTGCTCCACTTCAGCATCCCGGCCCTGTCTGTCTCCAATCTGCACACAGAGCAAGGGGAGCAGGCAGGCCCCGGGCCCAAGCCTGTGAAGGAAAAACCCTGGGCTTTCAGGAGTGGGCCCCTGCTCTGTGCTCACTCTTTCCCATCTCAGACATAAGCATTCATCTTCACTTTTATTTTTATTTTTTATTTAAAAACAAAAACAAAAAACAAACCTGCACTAATTTACCTGGTTTCGTAGGAAAGCTTTTTTTTATTTTTTACATTTTTTTTTGGTGTCCGTTTGTAATGAATAATTTGCTACATTTGTAAAATGTAAGAGATATATAATATATGTATATTTCTAACGTAAAAAAATTGTAATTTTTTCTTTTGGAGATTTTTTCTTAAAAAGAGGAGAGAAACAAAAATATTTTTTCAGGAAAAAAAACTTTGGGGAAAAAAGAGGAGAGACTGGAACCCTTTTCTCCCCTGGGTCCCCATCCCTCACCCACCCCACCTCCCCAAGAAGGAGTCCAAAGGTGGGTGGACTTGTAAACTTAGGCCAGAATGACGGATTTTCTTCTCGATGCATCTGCATCAGGTCTCGATTCTCTCTCAGCTTGCCCCCAGGGCAGGGAAGGGGCACAGAGGGCATCAGAGAAGGGGTTGGGGGGTGGGGAGCAGGATAGTTTATTTTTTTTCTTTAGTGAAGGAGGAATACAATCAGGAGTTTTGTATTCAGACTGTCGTGCAATATTTTGGAATGGGACATTGGAGTGTTTCGAGATTTAGTTTGGAAACAAAACACGGTTGATCAGATCTGTACAGTTTCTATTGTTTCAGATTTTTTTAAGTTTGTATTAAAAGCATGATATCTAATAGCTGTCTCCTTGTCTTTTTTTTAATTTTCTGGATGTTATTGAAGGGATGGGGAGACAAGAGAAGGGGCTCCATCGTCAAACTTCAAAGCTGCAAAGGGACCTGGGACATCGGGACCCTATTTAACTGAGGGGGGCCACAAAAGGCAGGGACCCTGGCCAGGGCCACACAGCTGGAAAAATAGCACTAGGAATGTGAACTTGGATCCTAAGATGACAGGGGGTAGAGCTGGGAGGGACCTCAGATTTCCTCCCTTGTTCCGTGGGGGTTCAGCTAGTTGGCTTCTGAGGCTCCATTCAGCTCAGTCAAGCCGTGATGCCGTGATCTAGTCCAGATGAGGAAATTGAGGCCCAGAGTAGGAAAGGCCCTGCACCAAGTCCCCATAGGCAGAGACAGGACAGACCCAATGCCTGTCCTATACTACAGTTCCTCTCTCCACTTTGCTGATGCCCTGGCAAAGCCCGGTGTTCGAGGTGATCAGGCTGGTATGACAGCTCAGTGCCGGTGCACTGGGCCCCAGTGCCCTTGTGTTAGGTTCAAGTTCAGGCCTGTCGTCCCCAGGGGTGGCCCTTGCTAGCTGCCCCTTGTGGTCCCCCATTGCCAGGGCCAGGTGAGGGATTTTCTCTTTCCTCCCAGGCCTTGCTTTGCCAGCCGTTTGGGTCCAGGGAAAGGTGAGGCATTCTGCCCTCCCTCCCTGTCCCCTCCTTGCGTCTTTGGAAAGTTGGCTCCAGTTGTTTCCATTTCATGTCATCTCCCTCCCCTCCCCTGAGGTCTCCCTACTCCAGTTTCATCCAGCAGCCTGCCTCCACCCAACCAGGTGACTTTCGTATCCACTGGGCAGCTCTGAAGCTGGGCATTTGCCAGAAATATACCTGCTGCTGCTCTGAATGGGTCCTTGAAATCCAGAGCTTAAACTTAATCCCTCAGCCGGAAGGGTCGGAAATGATCGCTTGAGGGCTGCTCTGGCCTTTGGACATTGCGCACATTACACAAGCCCAAGCAGAGGTCCAGAGGTGGCAAGTTGACCAAGGTCACATGATAAAGAGCAGACCGGGTTCAAGCCCGAAGGCAGCATCTTTCTTTGGGGACCCAGGCTGTCTTGAGGACACCCCCTAGCCCACAGAGGAGGCTTTTAGTCCAACTTGTACCTGACGGGTGAGTGGTCATCCGGCTTATGTCTGAAGACCTTCCAAGGCAGCCCATTGTATTATTGGCCCTACATACAGGTAGGAAACAGACTCGGTGAGCCCAAGGTTGTAACTGGCTGAGTTGGGATTCAAACCCAGGTCTTCTGACTCCAAAGCCAATATTCTTTCCTCTGAATCACAGCAGGAGAAACGAGGATTCCTGAGTCCGCTGTCTTGCTCCCATTAAATCTTGCTAACTCCTCTACAATTGATCGACCAATAAACATATTTTTTTTTGGGGTGAGGCAATGGGGTTAAGTGACTTGCCCAGGGTCACACAGCTAGTAAGTGTTATGTGTCTGAGGCCGGATTTGAACTCAGGTCCTCCTGAATCCAGGGCCAGTGCTCTATCCACTGCACCACCGAGCTGCCCCATCGATAAACCTTTATTAATTGACTCCTAAGCACCAAGCAGCGTCTTGGTTGTTGGGAATATGAAATCGAAAAAGCATGATCTTCTGCCTGCAAGGCCCTCATGTTACAGATAGTCCCTCTTGGCTGAGATGGGTAAAACCCATTCTCCCTGCCGGATTGAGGGCTCTGCTTTGCTGGAGGTCAGGGTGATGAGGGTGCTAATAACTTCCACTTATTTAGCTCTTTAGTAATTTGCAAAACCATTTCCCTGTGAGATAGGAGAATTGTCCCGGTAACCGAAACTCAGAGAGGGGCAGTGTCGATCAACCAAGAAGCATCTACTATGGGCCAGGTGCTGAGAATACAAAGACCAAAGACAAACAGTCCCTGCCCTCTGGGGGCTTACAGTCTTTCTGAAGAGAACACATGCTCACGTATAAGTGTAGCTGAAGCATGCACAGTGGTCACATCCCCGTAAAACCATCTTATTAGCTGGGCTAAGACCAGGTTGAGGGTAACCGATAGGCCTCAAACCCATCCTTGAGTTAGGCAGATTTCTGCCCCAAGCATGTAAGGACCCAATGGCCATGATGGTGGTGGAGCGTTTACAGTTTGGTCAGACATTGAAGATGCCAAGGCCATCCACTGGCCATCGCCAGCCCTCTCACTGGACTTTGATGACTCTGGAATAGAGAGTCAAGCCGATGACTTTGGGCGGCTCTGCCTCGCTTGAATCCAATTCATTCACCAGTCGAGACAGCACATCACCACGTTATTGGCCTTCTTTGAAAACGAATGATGAGTACAAGATGACGTGGAGGAGGAGACCCCAAAGTGGTGCTTGAGATGGGCTTTGAAGAGAACCAGAGATCTCAAAGCTAGAGCTAAGAAAGGGGACGTTCCAGGCGTGGCAGATGGTGGGGGAGATGGAGCGTCTGGTAGGGAGGAAGACCAGTTTGTCTGGATTGTAGAGTGCGTGAAGGGGAGTAATAAGTCTGGAAAGGTAGGTTAGGGCCCAGTCATGAAGGATGTTAAGTGGCAGGATTATTTTTGATCTTAATGGGAATAAGGAGCCACGGGGATTTTGTGAGTCCGGTGTGACCTGGTATAATTACTGCTGGGTCAGCAGAAGGGCTCAGATGGGGGCCTTTTCACCCAGACTTTCTTCTCTCCTTTCCACACTGCCTCTCATGATCTCTCAAGGCGCCGTCCCACCTGCTTCACCCACTGACTCCTTCCCAGAAAAAGGTCAGAAAAGACAGGCCATCAGATGCCCCAGGCTAGCCCCCCTGTCTTCTTTAAGGGATGGTATTGCTTTGTGTTGACTTTCTCCCCCAGCACCTTGGACAGCAGAGCAGCTGAAGCCCCATCCTCCTCATCTGTCTCTTCTGGCTCTGTGCCAGCCTGGCTTCAAAGCCAGGCTCTGCCGGGCCCCACCTTTTTCTTTTCTTTCTTTTTTTCGGCCCAAGTCTCCATCTGTCTCCCCACCTACCCAGAGAGGCAGTGTGGAATGGCAGAAAGAACACAGGATTTGGGTTCCAATACTCCCTCTGTGGACTGGGGCTAGTCAGTAGCAATCTCTTGTGTCCTCAGGTTAAAATAAGACTGGACCACATGGCCTCTGAGATCCCTTAAGCTGCAGGTCAGTGATCCTGACTCACCATCTTTACGCTCCTGGGCAAGGCTGGCTGACCTCAGACAAGTCACTTCCCTTCCCCGGGACTCAGTTTCCTCATCTGTAAAATGAGAGAGTGGCTTTCTTGTGTGTCCTGGTCCCCTTGGTCAGGCAGTCTAGGGAAGTCTAGGGAACCCTTCTCAGAATCGTGTTCTGGAAATACTGCCTTTCAGTCTTTGAAATCTTTGAAACCTTCCTGCTGACCCTGTGGGGGACCCCGGTTTAAGAATCCCTGGACTACATGGTCCCTGAGATTCTTTCAGGTGGGATTTCCTTGGGCTTCGGGGAATTGTCTCTCCTGAGACGAGACTATACAGCAATGTGTACTATACAGTCCACATTAGAGTACTATGCTATAGGACATACTATAGTATACGATGTCTGCTATAGACAGAGTATCTGCTGCACAGATTACAGGTGGAGTCCTACCTGGGGAAGAGTCTGGTCATTGTGCCAGGAAGTCAGAGCGGAGACTGGAGCTCACCTTTTAGCTGACTCTCTCCCCCACAGCTGACCTGACGCTCCTCCTCCACCCCTGCTCTTTCCTAACACTTCCCCAGCTGAAGGCAAGGCACTCCAAACTCCTCCAACAAGCCTTTGGTTTTTTGGTTTTCTTGGCTAGGCAATGGGGTTAAGTGGCTTGCCCAGGGTCACACAGGTAATAAGTGTCTCAGGTCCTCCTGACTCCAGGGCTGGTGCCCTATCTACTGCACCACCTAGCTGCCCCCCAACAAGCCTTTTTTTAATGAAACCTCTGCTTTGTGCTAGATGGTGTTCAACAG